AAAGATAAGCGTGTGCCAAGTAGTCCCATGATGAGGGTATAGAACTTGGGCAACTCTGTGTATTGGCAGAGTTGTGGGTGGGCTTGAATTTCCTAATTCAGGATTCGGGGTGAGGTTTACGAAGTTGTTTGGGCTGCGGAAGCCGAACTCAAGCAAAATAGGCTTCTTTTGCTGCAAGTGTCAAAGTAGAATGAGAAGTAGGAGAAGAAGGTAGTTTCTAAGACAGAGCTTAAAGAGGCTTGGCCAAGTAAAGTATAGAGGAATAGAAGCAATAACATGATTCAAAACTTATGTTACATTATAAAATTTTTTTTAACTATATATTATACATATATATATGTATGTATATTACACATTTACGATGTTATGTCTTTAAAGGATTTTTAAGTGACAAGGCAAATGAAATTCATAATCTAGTTTTACAATTAAGATATTCAACATTTTGTCTTCTTTGCTAAGTAGCTTTGTTTTTGTAAACAATTATGTATAAGATTACTAAGAGGACAAAAGGCCATTCAACATTTTTTTATTTCTAAACTAAAGATAAAGATTCTACCAAAAAGTCGATGATTAAAGTGATTTTATTGAAATTTTTGCCCCCTTCACTTTTTGTTTCGTTCGAACTTGTTTTCCATTAATATCTTTTCTTTATATTCAAGAAAAAAACTCCTCATATACTAGGATATTCAAAAGAATTATGTCATGGATATTTATATTATATCCAATAAGAAAAGTATATATTTATGTTATCTTTTTCATATAAACTTATATTAAGAAGTGAAAAGGTGCTACATATTTTTATGATATGGTACTAGTATAGATGTTTTTCTAGCTGCTTTCATATATTTTCATCTGTCTAGAAAATATAGTTTCGTTGTTAGTCCTCCATCTCTTATATTGAAGACATGAAATTAATTTTTAAAATTTTGATTTTTGCATACCTTGCAAAATATTTAATGTGACAATGAATTGTAACGACTCCGGAAATATCCAAAGGAAATAAATTATAATTCAAGTGCGGAAGCGAAATAAACATTTAATATTTACATTTCTTACACAAATAACTTAAAGCACCAAATAGTGTTACAGAATTTACCATTTTGAAAGAATACAAAGAAATAAAGAAATGAACGAAAAATAAAATAAAATTATGATTATACTCGCAATCCTCTTGCTGATCGGGCTCTGGATCCTGCTCTTCTTGATCTGAAATGGTTAAATAAGGGATGAGCTACACTAGCCCAGTAAGAATATCATACTATATCATTGACACAGAAATGAAGGTTGGTAGAAAATCAAAAAATAACTAATGGAGCACTAAATTAATCAAATTTATTTATCAATAATAAAACCATTTATCGTCCACTTACCGTAGTGAGATTTATAGAAACAACCTATAGAAAACAATAACATTATGCATATCATGATTTCATATATAGTTGGCAACATAACACATTATACTTTCATATTCAAATCATCAAAACAACAATTGCCCATTTTTTCACCAGCTTGCTGGTATCCATAGCAGGGGGCGACAGTCCGACTTAGGTTTGCTATTTTGGCCATTTTCAACTGAATTTGACTGGTTTTGCATCAATCCATGCGAGAAAACCCGTTAGGAGTCTTCGGTTGGCCGAAAAAAATACAAAAAACTGAAACTCATCGGCGGAGGGGCTCTCCAGTGTGGCGGCTCCTCCGACTCACGTTGCAGTTGGGTGTTTTACTCCAGTCAATCTATAGAGAAGGAAACGGTGATCACAATGGTGAAAAATTACGCAGAATGAGAATTGAGAAGGGCCTCATCGAAGACGTTTTGTGAAATTCTCTGTTGCCGCGCCGCCGGGCTTTACCTGCGGTTTTCGACCAATCAACAGGTCCTTCTGCTCCGATTTGGCCATGAGAGTGTTTAAAATTGAATTCCGAGCAAAAGAGAAATTTTTTACCTCTTTTGGCGGTCGAAAGTAGATCCGGCGCGGCGGCGGGTGGTGGCGGCTCTCCTTCCCGGTGGTTGGGTCTTCTTCTCCGGCGAGGGTGACTGACAGCTAGGGTTAGGGTTTGGTGTAAAGATTGTTATTTATACCCGTCCGCTTTTGATATGAACCGTTCATCACGTTTGATCTGGACCGTTCGATCACGATTAAATAGGGAGTGAATCTAGACCGTTCATCATGATCTAATATGGACCGACCGATCACGTTTAAATTTGACTGTCCAATCGCGTTTGGGGAGAGAACGCATTCAGACCGTACGTGCGTGCAGGAACGGATCTAGTCTGTTGATCACGAGCACGCGGATCGCCCGCGTGGCGTCTCGCGTGGCACCACGTCAGCGTTCGTTGCCATGCGGCGCGTTATGATTCGTCGGGACTGCTGACTGGGCATCCTATATGGCAAAATTTTTTTAAATTACATTCTGACCTCTGGTTTTTGATTTTTCTTTCAAAAATACATCTAGAACCCAAATTTTCACCACTTTTTCACAAAATTGTTTTCAATATCATCCTCCATCAAATCTACTTTATTTTTACACTAAATTAAAATTAAAAAATTAAAAAAAATTAGAAAAATACATTTAAATTAATTTAATTATATTAAATTAAACTTGGGCATTACAGGTATTGTAAAAAATCTTAAATTAATAAAAAAATAGTTCAATTTATTATTATAATCTAAAACTAAATTTAGAGTGAGTAGGTCGAGAGGAAGAAAAGGAAAGATACTAATTATTTGTTCAAATAAAAATATACTAATTAATAAAAAATAAATAAACAATGTGAATTTTAATATCATATTAAAAAAATATAAAATTATTGAGTACTATATAAATGTTCAATCATATATCATAAATAATTTGAATTTAAACTTTTGAAATCCAGTATTCTGGATTTAAAATTAATGAGTTAATAGTATTTGGACTAGAAACTTTACAATAATATGCATAACTAATGTTAAAAAAGGAATTATTAATTTAGTCTCTATTTATATGCCTATATCATATGCTTTCTTAACCCTTTATGTTAATTATAATACGTATATATTTGGAATTTTTAATGACAGCTAGGGAGACGAGAACCAGATCATTGTAAGTATCCAAATCCGAGTATGTAACAATGAATCTAGTATATTAAAACTTTTCTTAATTGAAAATACCAAATTTTGCTAGATAAAACTGGCGGTTTTTCCCCTCGAGCTTTTGGTAAGTAAAGATGTCATTAGCAAATTGGCTACGCCCATTGGAATAAACATCTTAACCTTTGTGATCTAACATTGCTGCAATGGTTGATAGGAAGAAAATCACAGCGAATTAAGATTTCTTGGCAATGATAAACAGATATTGAAAATTAAAATAAGGAGTCGAATAAAGCATTATCATATAA